TATTATTATTATTATTGCATATTACCGAACGTGTTGGTTATTAAAATTAAGGGTCAACGACCCTTTCGATAAAGATTATGATTATGATAATAATAATAATAATAATATTCATGTTTTTTAATTAATAATAAAAAAAAATAAGTTTTTTTTTTTTTTTTCAAATTAAATTTTTAAATTCTCGCGAAACTTTTTCATTTTTTTTTTTTTTTTTTAATTATTTATACTTATTTGTTTAAAGATTTTCTTTTTTTTAAGGGATGAGGGGGGGGAGAAAATGGTGGAGGAAATGCTGAAAAGGGGAGAAGAGAGTCGGTAAAGCGAGAAATGAAGAAAAAAAAAAGTTTAAAAACTTTTTTTTTCTTGCCCCCTTTTTTTAACTAATTACGAATACGTCGTTTGTTGTTAAAAAAAAAAAAAAAAAAAAAAAAAAAACTTTTTCTTCTCAATTTTCCTCGAAAATTTGTTGTTGTTGTTGTTCGTTGTTGTTTATTTTAATTTAAATTTATCTAAATCATTTTTTTCGCGTTTGTTTAACAAACAAAAAAATGAAAAAAAATTTTTTTTTTTTTTGAATTCAATAACAATAAAAATATATTTTTTTTAATTTTCGCGGTTTTCCTTTCCCCTCCCCCTTCCCCACCCTAAATTTTCACGCGCGTGTTGAATTAAAAATTTCCTACGATAAATAAATAAATAAATATATTAAATTAATTAATTAATTAATCCCTCATGTTTTTATTTACACAAAATTCCTCTCTCTCTCTCCTCTCTCTCCCCTTTCTCTCCTTTTTTTTGTTTCTCTTTTTTCTCTCTCTTTTTCTGTCTCTCACTTCCCATATTTTTTTTCTCTTTTCTCTCTGTTTTCATATTTTTTCTTACTCTCTTTCTTTCTGTCTCTTTAAATCTTCCTTTTTTCTTTCTCTTTCTTTTTTCCCTCGCTCTCTCTCTTTGTTTGTCTATTTTTTATTAATTTCTTTGTCTCTTTTTCTCTCTCTCTCTTTTTCTCTGTTTGTTTATTTTTTCTATTTTTCCTCTATTTGAGGATTATCAATTTCTCTCTATTTGTCTGTCTCTATTTTTGTTTCTATCTCTCTCTCTCTCTCTCTCTCTCTATTTTTCTATTTTTTTTCTTTCTTTCGATTCCCCTCTTTGTCACTTTCTCATTTTTTATTTTCCTTTTTTCTTTCTCTCTCTTTCTCTATTTTTCTATCGCCCGGTCTTTATATTTTCTATTTGTTTCTCTCTCCCTCCTTCTGTCTCTCTTTCTCTCTCTCTCATAATTATAAAATTTAAAATTACTCAAAAAATAAAATTTTTTTTTTCTTTTTCAATTAGTCGTAATAATTTCCATACGAGAGCAGCACTTATCAGTCTCTAAGGTGTAAGAACGAGAAAAAAAACGCAACAACTCGCGATAAACTCGTTTTCTCTCTCTCTCTCTCTCACATTTCGAAAAAAATCAATAAAATCACAATCGATTTTTAATTAATTTATTACTTTGTTGTTTACATCACGATTAACAACAATCGACACACAATGGCGATGATGATGATGATAATAATAATGAATAAAACACACTCGACGTGTTAACGACTACGACTTGCAATTACAGGTTTTACTTTTTCTAAATTCCCCCCCCCCCGCTCCTATTCCCTTCTCCTCACTCTTTTCCTAAAAAGAAAAAATTATTTCAATGTCGATTTTTTTTTACCTGGATTCTTTTTTTTCCCTCTCTCAAGGTTTTCGAAGGTAAATTAATAATAATAATAATTTCTTATCACTTAACATATTACACCACACGATTTAAACAAAACAAAAAAAAAAAAAAATTACAACAAGACGATTTTATTTTCAAAGGGGGGTACCACGTGATTATCAATTATGTTTGTGCATTGGTTTAGTTAGCGACGACTTCAGGGTCAATCATCGTATTCTCATTATTATTATTATTTTTTCTAATAATGATGATAATAATAATAAGTATTTAAAATAATGATTTTGTGTGTTTTTTTTAAAGTTTTTGCTGTTGTTGTTGTTGTTTGTTAAGTGATGATGGAGTTAAATTCGCGTAATAATAAGATGTCGAATGAATGACGACAAACGACAAACAACGACGCGTAAAAAAAAAAAAACATAAATTGGATAAATTATTACATCGTATTGGTATATATATATATATTACGTTTGTTTGTTTGTTTGTTTAATTTTGAAAAAAAAATTTATCGGAGGATTATTATTATTATATCGTCGACCGAACAAACGACGATTATTATCCGATTCCGTTCTTTTGACACGTTTAATAAATCATATTCGATTGCTAGAAAAATAATAATAATAATAATGATTATGATGATGATGATGATGATAATTTATTATTTACCGTTTTTTTTTTCGTATTTTTTTTTTTTTTTTTTTTTTATTATTTAAACGTGTTTTTTGTTTTGCATTCTCGTAACGGTCGAAAGTTCAATTTAAACGTTTCGAATCGCGATTACAAAGTCCAAATTTGATCAATGATAAATAAATAAATAAAAAATTTAAAAAAAAAAAAAATTTAACTATAAATAAATATTACATCCGGTTACGATTTTACTTCTTTTTTTATTGTTTTTCATTTTTACGTTAAACCCGCGTACACAACAAACAAACAAACAAACAAACGGGAGTTAAAAATTAAAACGTGCGTAAGAGAGAATAAAAAAAAATTTTTGTTTTTGTTTTTTTTTTCACACGTCGTATTTTTAATTATTGTTAACCGTTAAGCTCCCCTTCCTACCTTCCTTCCCTCCCCTCCATCTCCCTTTTTTTTTTTAAAGTGAAAAATAAAAGTTTAGTGGGGAGGTAAGTGTTGGCGTGATGATGGGGGGTAAAAAAAAATTTTTTTTTTTAAAAGAGTTTTCGCGTTATTAATTAATACGATTAAGGAAAATTTTTTTTTTTTAAATGGTTCGTTCGGAAAAATTATCGTCGAACCGGCGGTCGAGGTCAAATGTCAACAATTTATACGGATTAAATAGGGCGTTCTATTTGTCAGAGTGAGAGAGAGGGACGATCACGTTTATTAATAATAATAATAATAATTGAATATTGATCATTTTGGTAGCAATGGAAATCGTGTCAGTAGAAAAAAAAAACAAATTTTATGGAAATTAATTCGTTCAAGGATGAATATAATAATGATAATAAGTGTCAATCGAATTTAAAAAAAAAAAAATTAATCGATGGCCTCATTTCCGGTATTTCGACAAAACCCCGAGTTTTTAAAAAAGGAATAAAAAAATTTGTTTGGCCTCCATTTTGAAATATACGAGAATGAAATGGAAGGATTAACGATAAACAAATATGCGAAAACGGAAGTGTGACAGTCGACAAACCGGATATCATCGACAAACTAATCGAACCAACACCACAGCAGAAGAAAAAGATTAAAAATCGTTAAAAGTCACGCCAATCGCACTGGGTGTGTGTGATGGCACCAACGACATTCCAGCATTTATTCAACGGGAATCGGACCAAAATCTGGAATAATTCTCTGGAAAACTGGGATAACTTAGTTCCCTATTAAAAATAATAATAATAATAAAAAAACCGGATACGGAAAAATTTTAAAATATACATGAAAAAAAAAATTATTCGATTATCGATACCCGGAAAGATAATAATAATTTTTTTCATGACTTTTGTCATTTGAAATTTTTTATTTTAAATCCCGAGGATTTCAATATTGATAGATTCGCGATGATGATGATGATGATAATAATAATAATAATAATAAACATTTATGTGATAAGATCGTGTTAACAATCGTTAAAAAAATTAAATAACACGACGTGCGTAACGATATGGCGGTGCAAATGTGGAATTTGTTGTAGATAATTAGCAACCAATTAGTCGACAATCATTTTCTCCTCCATTCTTTCTCGTACAAATTCAAATGATACTAAAAAAAAAAAAAAAAAAAAATGAGGATTCGCATAAAAAAAAAAAAAATTTCCAGGTCGAATTACGATAATTCGCAATCGTAAAAAAAATATCCGCTAATGAATCGTAGACGTCGTCGTCGTCGTGATAAGAAAACGATCGAGATAACATCGAAAGAATTTGAAACGTACAACGCACGTACCTTGGGTGCGTGCGTGCGCGTGAGCGTGAAAAAATTCGAAAGTGGGACGGGAGAGGGGGAGGGAGGGAGAAAGGAAAAATTATGGAATTTTATAAAATGATTAATGCAAATCTGGAGAAATTTTTTCAAAAAAAAAAAAAAAAAAAATCACTGGAATGATATTTTATGTAAATTATTGGAAAATGAAAAAAATTCCGGGAAAATTTTTATTTTTTTTTTTTTTTTACTCTCGACCGAATCCATCATCATCATCGTCGTCGTCGTCACCAACATCACCGTCATCGTCACAACCATAGCCATCATCATCACCAATCTCATTACCATCCTCATCACTATCCTCATCACCATAACCATCCTCACCACCGTAACCAGAACCATCGTCATCATCAACACCACTACCATCATCATCATCATTACAATCACCATAACCATCACCATTCTCATCATCATCAACATCACCATCACAATCCTCATCACTAGCACCATCATCACCAAACTATCACCACCTTCATCACCATAACCATCACAAACCATTACCATCCTCATCACCATAACCGTCATCACCACCATCACCTTCATTACCATCACCATCGTCAACATCTCCACCAGTCATCATTACCATCACCATCCTCATCATCATCATCGTTTCCACAATTATTAATTTAAACATACCCACGACCACCACCACTACTACTTTCGTAACTTCGTCGTTTCGAAATTTCAAAAAAAAAAAAAAAAAAAAAAAAATGGAAATTAATTTTTATTTTCTAACGCACGGTTGACAACATTATGAAAAAAAAAACAAAAACAAAATGTCTTATGTATATTTTTTGTTTTTAAAAAAAAAATTATTTCCAGTTTAGGTGTTTGAATTAAAATGGTTTTTGTGGCTGGACTGATTGGTATTATAGTATTCTATCTCGCCATATTGGGTGTTGGAATATGGGCGAGCAGAAAAGCCAAAAACAATTCAGAAGAAGAATTAATGTTGGCCGGAAAGAGTTTAGGTTTCGTAGTCGGAACGTTGACATTAGTTGGTAAACAAATTTTTCTTTATACAACCAACCGAACGACATTTTAATAATAATAATAATAATAATTAATTACGTGCAGTTACTTATTAAAGTTTTTTTTTTTTTTTCTTTTTTTTTTTAAACTATTCTAAGCCGCAATATTTTTTTTTCTCTCCATTTTTTTTTTAGTATTGTTTTGAAAAATTGGAAGACGATAAACATACACAAAACTTTCAACAGGTGTCAAATGGCATGACCTTAAAGAATATTGACCCAATTTATAACCTCTCTTCTTCCAAATAGGTAACCTTAATATATATGTATAAATAAATAAACAAACAATACTAAATGACTATTTACACGTTTTTTTCTTTTATTTTTATTTATTTAAAAATGAGAGTGACGTCGGAACGTGACTTCCGGTTTTCAAAAAAATTTTGCGGCTTAGAATTTTACGAAAAAATTATTATTATTAATACGATTCGTAATTTTTTTTTTTTTTATTGTCTTTTCAGCAACTTGGGTCGGTGGGGGATACATAAATGGTGCTAGCGAAGTTATGTTCACTCGAGGCCTACTATGGGCACAAGTACCCGTAGGATACAGCTTAGCTTTGCTCGCCGGTAATAAGTAATTTATGACGTCATTTGTCACAATGATAATTTACAGGGGATTTTTTTTTCTGTTTTATTATCCGTAGGAGCATTATTGTTTGTTAAACCCATGAGGGATGCAAATTGCATCACGTTATTGGATCCCTTTCAAAGAAAATATGGTAATACGATTGGTGCTTTTTTATTCATACCATGCATATTAGGGGATCTTTTTTGGGTTGGATCAATATTAAACGCTTTAGGTAAGATATTAACTTTCTCTCACTCTCTCTCTCTCTCACTCTCTCACTCACTCTCTCTCTCTCTCTCTCTCACATTTCCGATTCATCGTAATTTTCATTTGTTTCAGGTTCTTCTTTGGTTGTTATAACCGAATTGAGTCCTATAATGTCAATCGTTTTGAGTGTAATTTTTGTCGCATCTTATACCAGTATTGGAGCAATGTACAGTGTCACTTACACAGATGTCGTTCAATTGTTTTTAATATTGTTCGGTTTGGTAAGGAGGGAATCAACGAAACAAAAACAAAAATCCCGACAACAAAATTAATGATTGTATAACGTTACAGGTTTTATCCGTACCTTTCGTGGCAAGGAACGAATACATAAATAATGATAAATTAAATCAAGTTGATTGGGTTGGTAGTATAGCACCATTAGATTTAGGAGAATGGATAGATACAATGTTGTTACTCATATTCGGGGGTATACCCTGGCAGGGATACATGCAAAGGATTCTGGCAATAAGAAATACAAAAACCGCACAGTATTTATCAATGATATCAACTTTTGGTTGTGCCATCATGTCGGTACCTTCGGCTTATATTGGTGTTGTAGCCAGGTAAACATCAATCTCTTTTTTTTTTACTACTTCATTTAAATTTTCTCCCTCACCTCCCCCCTCGTTTGATTTCAGAGCCGTGAATTGGGATGAAGTTCCTACATTTCATAGAAATGTAACATCTATGGATGGTAGCGATATACTTCCGATTGTTTTACGTCACTTGACACCGGCTGTAAGGTTTTCTTGTTCTTTGTGTGTATTTTCCCCACTCGAACTTTTCCCTAAGTTTTTCTTTTTTTTTTTCTTTTTAGGCCATTGGTTTTTTCGGTCTCGGTGCAATATCCGCTGCCGTTATGAGTTCAGCGGATTCAAGTGTTTTATCATTTAGCGCAATGTTTTCGAGAAATTTATATAAAAATTTAATTCGTAAAAAAGTAAATTTTAAATTTGTTTGTTCTGTTCTTTGTGTTTGTTTTTTTTTTGATGTTTTCATTATTCTTTCATCAGGCTTCCAGTAAAGAAATAGTTTGGGTATTGAGAATAACAATTTTATGTATTTCCGTATTGTCGGCTATCATAGCCCTTACGGTTCCCAGTGTATATTATCTCTCGTAAGTTTTTTCGTATAATTTTTTTTTTTTTAATAGGTCTCATCATCGTTTAATCGATTCCTTTTCTTTTTAGCGTTCTTAGTTCAGATCTCATTTACGTTATTCTTTTTCCTCAACTTTTATTGGTGGTACATTGGAATAATTTTGTCAATTCTTACGGATGTATTTTTTCATATCTCGTAGGAGGGACGCTTAGAATTTTAGGTACATGCCCCCCCCAACGCCTGATTATTTTTACGTTATGCAATTTCTAAACGTTCTTGCCGTTTGTTTTGCATATAACAACAAATAAATTTTTTTTTTTTGTTATCAGGTGGAGAACACGCTTTGGGTTTGCCAACCGTTATCAAATACCCGAATTACGATCACGTTAAAAACAGGCAAAAATTTCCGCACAGGACTTTCGCGATGCTGTGCTCTCTGGCCGCGCACATTCTAATAAGTTCAATAACGCACGTTTTATTCATAAAAAAAATAGTACCCATCAAATACGATTTTTTACATTGTTTCGAAGAGGAAGAAAAAACGAATCCGTCTTCCGTTTCGCTAACGAATTTAACGCGAGACGATAAGAAAAAGAATAAAAAAATAATTAAAACGCAAAAGGAATTTCGAAACGGTTCGACGACCGCTTTCGACGATCCCGCGGGAACATCAAAATAAATAAAAGATGATCCCTTTAATCATCTCAAAATTAAATCATCGAAAAAAACTTAAAAATCAACGCGAATCCTTCAGGAGTTACAAAAACCTACGAACGGGGAAAAGAAAAATAATAATAATAATAATAATAATAATAATAAACACGTAAACAGTAAAAACAAAAAATAAAACAAGTAAATTAATATTATTATTATTATTATTATTATTAGGAAAACGTCAGAGTTAAATCGAGTAACGTGTGTGCCACAATAAATATATGTATAACAAAATAATAATAATGAATCTACAGTATGACGTTATAAAAACAATTTGAAAAAAAAAATTTTTTTTTTTTTTTTTCCTGTATATTTTATCAATTACATTTACCATAGATTATTATTATTATTATTATTTTGATTTATTTAATATTATTATAAATTATATCCGTTTATATTTTTTTTTATAATATAATTTAAATTCGTATATACACATACAAATACACTCACGGTTCAAGATTTTATCATTATTATTATTATTATTTTTAATGTTTTTTTTCTTTTTTTTTTTTTTTAACAACGAACGACCTTTGGAAATCCGACTTGAAAGAAAGAGAAAGAAAGAAAGAAAGAAACGTAAAAAATTTATTTATTTATTTATTCATCAAGTACGTGAAATTAAGTAATTTTATTTAAATGATCAAAAATCATCATTATCATCATCATGACTACTACAGATAATAATCATATTAAATCTTACTACGCGCGAAGCATAAATAAAAAAAAATATTAAAAAAATTTCAAAACGTTAACTTTTTTTTTTTTTTTTTTCAACATTTTTATGCAATCCTACTATCAAAACATTTTGTTTGTTTGTTTGTTATGATTTTTTTTTTTCAATAATCCCTTACAAAACGTTCGAAAAAGAGAAAGAGAGAGAGAGAGAGAGTAAATGTGTATGTGTGTTTTGCGTAAAAGTAAAAAAAAAAAAAGAGAGATAGAAAAATTATAATCGTTAATAAATGTCACATATCTCATATCGGTATTAACTTTTAACCACGTGGTAAAAACACGTGTATTTAAATGAAATTTAAATTTAAAAAAAAAAAGGTACAAAACGGTTAAAAGGGGATTAAGAGGATTTGAATCGAAAATTTAATTTTTGGAGAGGATTAAAAATCAAATGGAATATCAGGTATTATGACGTAGGAAATCGTATGGATAATCCTTCGTTCCAAAAAATTATCGTCGATGATTTCCCATACCAACCAACCCTGACAGTGTTTTAACCAAACGATAAATTTTTGTCGCACACGATAAACGTGCCTGTCGACACACAACAAGAAGTACGACAACAACAACAAGAACAACTACGACAACAACAACAACAACATTTCGTATAGTTTAGCAGCATCCGTAGAAGTTTTTAGTATATGTTGGCGTCAACACGCGAAACGAATGGTACCTTAACTAAAAAATTATTATGTAACATTTTAGGCTCTTGACATATTACCGGAGGCTTGGCAAATTTTAGGTACCTTAACGTCAACAAATGAGTTTGTTTTTCAAGGCCGTCCATTTTTCTTTTTTTTTTTTTTTCTTCTGTTTTTTTCCCCCATCGGATTAAATAAAAATTCAAAAAAGTTTTCTCTGATGTAGTAATTTTTTATCAAAACCGTTTGTTTTAACCTTCAAATCTACGATTTAGTACCCGTTAAAATATTATTATTATTATTATTACGAAATTTTTTTTGAATTCTCATCTGACTAAAAAATAATGATGATAACGTAAACCGGAAATGAATTCAAGTATTTTTCCGATTAATCTTTTTGTCTTTTCTCGACATTTTTTTTTTGTTTCTTTTCTCGTATATTTCATGCGGTCAATGTAAAAAAAAAAAAATCACGATGACGATTTGTCGTTGTTGTTGTTTGAAAAATAACGGAAATTAATTTTTTTATCGAACCTTGATTGATAATTAAGAGAACGGAAATTAATAACGAAAAAAAAAAAAATTTTTTTTATTTACTCGTTTCGACAAATTATACCCGACTGTGAATATTAAATTTTTTTAGTACTATTATTATCATTATTATCATTATTATTATTATTATTATTATTATTATTATTATTATTATAATCGTTATCGTTTTCGATACCTGTGCAATTTTTTCATTTTTTTTTAAATGACGACATGGCTTTTAAATTTATTACCCGTTCGAAGGGTTTAATGACGCTATAAATTTGACAAATGGATTTTAAATCGCCGGTTTAAGAATTTACATAATAAAAAATTATTATTATTATTATTATGATTATTATTATTATTATCGTAGATGTATGTTTATATCGTGAGAGATATTTTCATTCGATTTTGATAAATATTTTTTTCCCACTGATCTGGAGTATCTCTCATGGATAAATTTCGGAACGTTCCAGTTTTCGATTTGTAAAATTTTCTTTAAGGTGTGGGCCACGTGACAAAAATTTTTTTCATGTTTTGAAATTGTAGAAGAAAAAAAAAAAAAAAATTTCCAGATTTCCATTGAACAAAAAACACAACTGGAACGATTATTATTAATTTATCGTTTTACTATCGTTGTTTTTATTTTTTTATTTACACAATTTTTAATTGATTAATTTTGTAGCGTGGAAGTGATTAATGAGAGGAAATCTTTCTTTTTCTCTTTCGGTTTCGTTCCTTCCAGAGATTTCTATGGTAATAATAATAAACTGGAATTTTTCGTGGTCGTTCGTTTCGATATTTTTTACATTCGTTCCCCGATTCGGATTTTTTTTCATAAAAAAAAAAAAACAAATTTGTAATGCCCAACCTATTTTTCCAGTAGTTGACTTTTTATGATTTTTAAAATCTGTTTTAAAATATTTCGTCTGCTTTTGTTTTTTTTTTCTTCGTTTAGTTTGTTCTTTCTTCGCGATATGTATTATTTCTCCAGATTTGATTTTTAAAGTTTATTCTGTCTACAAAATTGCTTTGAGTTTCCCTATCTGTCATTCTCTTTTTTTGTTTTCCTCTCTCTCTCTCTCTCTTCCTCTCTTTTCCCCGTTTTCTGTTTTTTTCTCTTTCTTCTTTTCTATTTTTCCCTCTTCCTCATTATTTTACTGTCTTTCTCCTTCTTTCTTTCTCTTTTTCTGTTTCTCCCTTCCTCTTCCTCTCTTTTCCTCTCTCTCTGTCTTATACATTCTCTTCGTTCTTTTTATCCTCTTTAAACAATTTTTAACGAATTCCTCATTTTCCAACCGCGATTTAAACCATCTTCCATTCTTCTCATCAATTAAAAAGTTTTTTTCAATAAAATAAGAATTTTTTTTTGTGATAATTCGATGGAAACAAGTCGATCACAATGAAAACATTCATTCAAATTCACAACTACCGGAAATGAAATTTTCCTCAGAGTTTTTCCCAAAATTTCAACCCTAAATAATAACTTTTCTGTTTTTTCTGTTTCTTAATTTAATTTTCTTTACTTCCTACAATTAATTAATCATTAATCACCGAGACTTGATATTAACTAATAAACTTGTTCAGAATTCACGCAATTCACAACTGTTAGAATACAACAATACACACACGCACACACACACACACACACACACGGTAAGATTAATTACATTAAACAAACAAACAAACAAACAAATATTTCATCTTTTTAACAATTAACAACAAACATCAAAACGGAAATGAAACATTTACATACAATGTAATACTTATTATTATAAAATATTCGAACGATAATATTATCAATGATTTCATACGACAACAATTGCGAATTACCTACAACAACAACAACAACAACAACCATACTCTTCTTAATTTTTTCATTTAAATATCATGCAATTAAATAATATCAAAATTTCTTGGAGAAAATTAAAAAAGGGAAAAATAATTTTTTTTTCTATCCAGAAACTTCTTTGCATTTTTTTTTCCCCCCTGTTTCCATTTAACGATTTTCCTTACTAAGTATTAAAATAAAAATATAAAATGATATCACTTACCCATTGAAATCCAACGTTCTCCCATGATCTTTTTAAAATTTTTTTATTTTCCATCACTTTCAACCCACGTTTTTTTACACTTAACGAACTTTACAAAAAAAAAAAAAAAAACCGTTAAAACTACTTTCACTTTTTTATTTTTGTCGTTCGCGAACATTATTTTTAAATTTAAAAATTTATCACTACAACATCCGATTATACACACAAAAAAAAATTTAAAACAAAAACTTTAACGATTAATTAAATAAATCACTCGAATACAACAAACAATAAACTCGCGAATTTTTTTTTTAATCACGTAAATGACGTCATCACCATCATCGTCATCGTTTTTTTTTTCGTCTTTGGTTAATTACGACATTCAAGAAATACACGTCAACATGATGAGGGGGGCGGGGAAATCGACATTTTCACATTTATTAAATTCCGCCTTAATCGTCTGAAAAAAAAAAATGATTTTTTATTATTATTATTAATATTTTTTTTAAACGAGGTATTTACTACGGAAGAAAATAATTAAATTATTTATAATTAATCCAATGTACTATTCTATCTCCAGGGATTTTTATATTTCACTTTTATCCAGAATAAATCAAAACACTCTCGTTTATAAATGCAAATATATTTATATATATATATAAATAAAATGATGGCGTCGGTAAGAGATTTTTAATTTTATCATTATCATCATCATTGAAAGATTTAAAAGTAATCTTTTGATTAAATGAAAACTCTCCGGTTAATTGATCAGAGAGAGAGAGAGAGAAGGAGAGAGAGATCAGCAAAGAGACAGCAAAGAGAGAGAGAGAGAGAGATCAGCAAAGAGACAGCAAAGAGAGAGAGAGAGAGAGGTCAGCAAAGAGACAGCAAAGAGAGAAAGAGAGAGAGATTTTAAAAAAATGAAATATCCTCATTTAAGATTATTATTCGATCGTCTATACATCGAAATATTTTTCGCTATTATTATTATTATTAAAATTTTCAATTGGAAAGAGGAAACGGAAATA